ATAAAATGAACACATTTTTACCATAAATTAATTTTTGAAAGTTCTAAATATTACTTCCTTTTTCTATATAACTAATCAAGTGTGAAAAAATTCTCTCGCATCCTATACTATGTGAAGTAATAAAAAATATCATTATAGCTAATTTTTGAAATTAATCATATTTGTTCTTAATTGAATATCACTAATTCTTAATGTTTCAAGATTATTATTAAAATCTTGATCTAGACTATATTTCAATTCATAATTACGAATTTATACTAAAAAATAAATACATGACTTCTTATTACTACTATTATTCTGTTAAATTTGACCTGTTATAGTAGTTATAATTTTTTAATACTCCCTTTTTAACCTATATTCTATTAATAAGAAATTTGTAATTAATTAATTAATAATTTTAATAATTAAATAAAATAAAATAAAAATTTACTAATCATAATAATTAGGATATAAAAAGTATGCTAATATATACATATTTGGATCAAACTTATTATAATATTTATTAAATGTATTAATATAAAATTGATGAAATCCAGCTATTTTGTGCGATAATAATTTTTTAATAGCATTTGCAAGTAAAATCAATTAAATAAAACAGTCAGCAAGATTTATATTTATACTTTCAAGTAAGATAATTGGTTTTAATTAGCTTTAAGACTTTGATTAAGTTATTAATATTTGCAAAAAATTTTGAACTTTTTATATACTATTTAACTACTTTATTTATAATTTCATTAGAATTATTTATCAATATCTATAATATATTATTAATTTAGTAATTATTTTAAATTAAGTAATAATAATTTAAATTAAATATACAGATTCTAGTGAAAGTAATGGCACTCAGTTTTTTAATAATTTATGCACAATTTTATAATAAAAAATTAAAAAAAAAAATTATTTTTTGAAAGACTGACCAAAATTACATATATTTTATTAATTAATTAATATTTGGTATAGCCTCCTTCTGTATTAATATATGCTTTAATGCAACTTAATATACTATTAATATAGTTAACTATTGTGATATTTTCAATATCATCCTATTCCTTTCTAATTAAATTTAAAAAATTTCTTTTGAGATTTTTTTCCTTTGTGTCACCATTCTCTTAACCTCTTTCTCAATATTTTTCTTTAAAATATTTCAATAGGATTAAGGACAGAGCTATAGAAAGGCTAAGAAAGAATCTGACTTGAAAGATGAGTTTTTAAGTTACCTTAAACATCACAGTGTTAACATTTACTCTTTTCATCAAATAAGTTAACTATGATTTAAAGTCAGAAAAACAATAGCTATGACTTAAATCCAATCAACTTGACATATTATTTATTAGAGAGTCTATTTAGTTAATAAGAATAAAATTATAAGTTTCATGTTTGCAAAATGTTAAGATTGTTTATTATTGTTATTAAATGTATATTGAATATAATGTTGGAATCTATCCTTTTTTCAAAGCATTTTCATATCCTATATATAAGAAAATTATAATTAAAGAAAATATATGATATTTATGATACTATTGACAATAATAACAGAGCTAACAGATATGCTAATTATATTAAATATGAAATAAATAATATATATGTTAGATATAATAATAATAATAATAATAATAATATAAATGATATAAATTATAAATATATCTTATTTGACAGATATGTCATATTTGACAAGTTCATCAGTTTTTGCTAGTTTCATCAATAAGAACTCAATTCACGATCAGAAAATTTATAATTTAGTAGATATATTTGCTTAAGATAAGTAGTAAACTCTATAATGCTTGTTTGTTATTTTTCTATTTATCAAAAAATTGATACCAGTTAATTTCAGTGATAGCAATTCTCTGTTTTAAATTTTACTCAAATGCTTGTATCATTATCTGAATATTACGCCACTCTATTATATTACAAATTGGTCATTCTGCATAATTTTCTAATATATCAATTGTATCTTAATAATTAATCCCAAATAAAATTTTTCCACTATAATTTTTCAATATTTCTACTTTCTTCCAAATTTCGTTTGGTGAAATATCATTATAATTTGCAACCAACCTTTTATTTTGAAATATTTCAATATAATAATTTCTATTATTAATTTTTTGAACAAAAAGGCTTTGTTTATTATAATATTTATATGTAAAATTTGATTGATATCTAATAAAATTATTAGAGTCATCATCTGAAATACCTAACTTTATAATTAAAACTAAAAATTTGTCAATTAATATTTTGAAAGGATAAAATACTACATCTGATATTAATTGCTTAGTTATATATTCATTATCAAATCCCATAACTGAAGGTTCTGAATACTGTATTTCAGTATTGAAAAATTTTTTGTGAGCTTCATTAATGACTTCAAACACAGTTAAATAAATTTTTATTATAATATCTGATTCACACACATAACTTGATCTAATATTATTATTTATACTAATAATACGAATAATAAACTCTCTCTTATTAAGTTCTAAATGAACTTTCATATTTAATCTTATGGGTACGCTTATCTGTTTTTCTTCACCAGATATTTTTTGGTTAAAAAATGTCTACCAATTTATAGCATATAAGCTATAATGAAGCATTAGAATAAGATTACCAGTAGAAATAAGTTGTATTTTAGATTTTTGTGAAAACATTAGAGCTTAATAGGTAAAGAAAATGAGATTTAAAAAATTTTAATTTTTAATATGATTTAATAACTATGAGATTTACTATTAAATCGTGATCAGGTGCTCTGATTGATCAGCAGATCAGCAATTAAAACTTTTTAGCAATATCAAAAATTATCATAGCATTGCTGAGTCAGTCATACAAATTAATCAGAAATTAATCCAGTCTGCTGATCTGAGTAATAGTTTACTCATCAACTAAAAAATTAGTTAAGGTTAAAAGTTTAGTCAGGCTAGAACTCAGGTTAAATTTAACTGAAATGCATGATTTGAAGTTATACAGACTTACGTGTGATATTTATGAGTGAACTATTTTTAACTATTATTTTATCATATTTAATACTTGTCTATAAATTAAAATTAGATGATTCTATTACACATTTAATTTGCAAATTAAAGCAATCAATTATGCTAATTCTTTACATTAATCATTTAGTTATTTCCACAATTATATTGAATCATTGCAAAAAGAAAAATGCTGTATTTGATCTTAGGAGATGAATTTACTACAGATAAAATCAAATGATAGGTCAAATATATTTTCACAACACATTAACTTCACTTTTGTTCTTCTTTTTATTATGAATTAAAATGTTATATATAATCATAAAAATCCAATTTCTTAATTTAGTAATTTTTATTTATTCAAATAAAATAATAACTATTAATAATTCCTTATAAGAAATTATTGATAATTGAATCATATAACAATCAAAATTGATTCAATTTCAACAGAAATTTTTTATAACATCTCATTTCACAAAATTTTTTTATGATGGTCTCTCTGAGATTTTTGTTCTATAAAAAATCTTTAATTAATATTTTATCACATTAATATTCATTAGAAAAATATAAGACTTTAAAAATGCCTATTATTATTATATATTTTTTCATAAGTAAAATAATTTATAATTTGTTTTAGATTATAATTATCTGAAACTTAAAATCACTTTTATATTTTCAAGTATACAAATCACATACAATTTTCTATTGCTAATTTAAATCTAAACTAAATTATTAAAAAATAATGTAAAAACAAATATCCTTAAAAAATTTCTTATTTTTAACCCAAAAAAAAAATTATTAAAAATAGATTGGTTTACAAAATATATAATATTTAATGATAACTAATATTTAATGTTCATTTGCTAGCTTTTTTTTAATAATAAAAGAAAAAAAAGCTCAAGAATATATAGTATTGAATATTATGAATTTTATTAACTTTCAATGAGAGAATCAAGCAAGGCTAGTTTATCTTTCATAATATTGATAATGAAGAATATTATTTTTTGAAGAGAAGAACAGAATTCTTCAATAGAGTTATATATAAGAATTTTGACACCATTTTTTTCAAAAAAAGCAAATTTTATTTGCTTATACATTGATGATATATAATAACCAAAAAATCACAGAATTTCTCCTTGAAATCATTATGTAGAATAATCTCAAGACATGTAAAATCATCTTCTTTTAAGTATTTCTTGATTTTTGTAAAAAAGATTTCATATTTATAAAAATGTGTTTAAAAAAATTAAGGTATTTGTACAAACTTAGATTCATTTAGACTGATAAGAATTAAAAACTATGATATACCAAACTAAGGTGTGAAATCAACGACACGAAAAATTTCAACATCACATACTCACGTGACTTTCCTACCAACAAAATTCTTGGATCTTTATTCCTAAATAAAAAAAAATTTTTTACAAATCTTTTTGAAAACAGTTAATGTATGATTATTTTACTTTTTCATTTTCGGCGTTTACGTTATTATTATTTTAAAAAATCAAGTTTAAAAAAAAAAAAAAAAAAAATCGCGCAAGCAAATATGATTTTTCTCCCCACGATAAATTCAAATTCAAATTATTTATTTAAATTATAACTGTACCATTCAGGTTAATATGATTATTTATGGACCGATGGTTTTGATACAATAAAAGTTACTTTGGTTGGCCTTCGACCAATATTGTAATAAAAGTATCTGCTACTGTCAAAAAAGTTAATAAATTACTTCAATAAAAGTTTAAGATTTAAAAATATAAAATTATTAATTACAATATGTTAAAGAGAAATAATTCTTTTTTTATTAAAAATACATCATCGCAATACATAATAAGATTTGTTAAAATATTGTATTGAAACAAAAGATCTCCATGAAGGAAACTTAAATTGTTCTTGAATACGTAATTTTTTTAAAAATATATATATATAAAATAAAAAACCATTGAACAAGCTTTTACAAGATAAGAAAAATGATAAATGATAGATAGACAAACATGAAATATATACGTTGAAATATATAACTTGAATAAGTTTATCCGACCCTCAATCCATCATGACACTAATAATTACAAGAAAAGAGACATGTTAAATCACATGATATAAAAAAGAAAAATATGAACAGGAAATACGTAAATAAATTAGATAAAACCCACTCGCAAACTTGCGCGTCCATTCCCGTGCCGTATCTTCATAACGATTACGGTCTGACTTGTATAAGTGCGCAATTTCGGGTTCAAGTGGATCATCGGGATTAGGATCAATTAATCTTGAGCGAATGGCAATAAGAACTTTCGAGATGGTAAGAGCCGGGGACCATTGGTCCTTTAGATCATCCAAACATATACTTCCGTTGCTGTTGATATTCGGATGATACACTCTTGTTGTAAAAGTTACCTTTGGTGGTTTGAACGGATAATCTGTGGGAAAGACGATAGAAAGGAAAAATACCCCTCCGACATATGGAGATTCTGAAGGTCCCATTATTGTCGCTTGCCAATGAAAAAGATCATCCCCAATGGGACCAGCGCTACATAATGGTGGTGGATCCCGCCTCAAGTCGGCCAATTCCTTATTGATTCTTTTGAGCGCCATTTTGTTTTGTCAAAGTGGTAAAGAGAGAAAAAATTAATTATCTATTGACCGTGAGTAAAATTTATTACAATTGCATTCATTATTCATGTGTAATGATGCGTAATCAATAAATAAATATGTAGTGTAACAATCTTACAATAAGAAATTCCTACAATCCAAATGAAAGAATATATTTGGCTATCCATTTTTAACAATTAACTAAAGTAATGTGGCGCAATAAAGGTTAAACGGCTTAGATTCTGCAATTTACTAAATTTCAATTCTCTGGTAAAATGACCAAAAAGAATAATTTTCATTACATTAAACGCTTTTTAGCTTTGAAACTTGCGATTTAATTTTGAAACTAACGATCACCACTACATCTTTCTTTAAGAACATATTTTTTTTTGATTTAATATTTCTTTTATAAAAAGTTTTTTAATTTAAATGATTGAAATCATCATTGGAATATGATTTTCACGTGAATTTTATGTCATTTCTACATGTGACAATTGCAAATCACATGACCTTACATATGTTCGGTGATAGTCACGTGTAAATTTGTCACCGGTATCACACCCGGCTGTAATTTCATTTTTAAATATCGAAATCCAGGTTAATTTAATAAAAAAACTTCCTTTTTATTTTAAAATTTTAAAGTAACACTATTTGAATTACTAAACCAAACCAAATACTGTAATAAATAATTTTTTATATACTTATGTTATGCGTTAACTATAATTTCCGACTGGCCTAAATTATGGGCCTATTTTAGGCTGATCGTATAATGCCTTAAGAAGGTTTGACCAGCATTAATCATCTGACGCATGTCAACTGTCAGTTGACTCTCTGACGCACAATATATATATATTTATTAGCATACAGAAAAGAACGCTGAAAAGCCTATGCTACTTGCTTAATCTCTATTTGTAAAGAATTGAAAATGCTGAAAAGCTTGTGTTACTTGCCTAACCTCTATTTGTAAAGGATCAGACAATTTTTTGATGATTTATACTAACCAAAAAATTCAGTTTTCAGTTAGTTTGATAATAAAATATGGTTTAATCTTTTCTACCATTTTTATAGCTTTTTCCATTCTGTATGCATAATCTTATATAAATTTATATATAATTTCATGCATAAGGTTTCATGTTTCATGCTTTGACAATCAGTTTTTACGAATAGCGGTTCAATATATTAGAAAAAAAGGATCTAATTATGCCATACATCATGCAAAAAAACTTTACACAAGTGGCATTTTTAAAATTTTCTCATTAAACTTTTTTTTAGTTAATTAATTAAGAAAAAAGAAAATATGCCATGACTATTTTGACTATTTAAAGCAAATGCATTTATGGATAATAGAATAAAATCTCACTGATCTATTTAAATTTCTCTCTGAATTTATATCGAAATTTATCGAAAAAACACTCTATCATTTCTATATTTTTTTTCTTCCAGAAATAAGTAATAAATAAAAAATGAAAAAAAAGGATAAATCTCTCATGAAATTTCCAAAGAAAATTTCTTTTTTCTCAAGAAGAAAAAAAATCCTGTTTCTCTTATGCTACCTTTCTTTACTAATTCCTAAAAAAAAATGATAAATAAAAAGCTTTCATCTTCTTCTTACTATTACCAAACAACCATTAAATTCTTTTTAAAAAAAAATTATAAATCATGTTAGCAAAATTCACATTTATTTGTATAATTCATTCAGTAATTGAAAGAGACATTACAGAATACATTGTGAGAAAAGCAATCATTATATTAAGAAAAGAAACAAATGTAAACTTAAAACTAAGAATAATTACTTTTTTTCCTAAAAATTCCTAAGTATCAAAATGGATCCCTCTTTTTATTAATGGAAATATCTTAAGATTCACTGAAAAATTTGCACTTTCAAAATACCCTCATGATGCTATAGAAGTAAATAAATTCAGTTAACTAATTTAATTAAAAAAATATTCATAACAAATATTTTCTTCTTCACTATTAAAAAAATATCTAGATGATAGTAAATGCAGCTGATCTTATAGATATCAGTTGAGACAATTTGTTAGTCAGTTCTATTTCTGTTTTTCTTACAGGTTTCATTGCAGAAATGGAATCAGTTCAAAGTAATAACCTATTTAAAATCATTAAGCTAAACGTAACTGAATTTGCTAGAAGTTTACAAAGTGGACTTACAAGAAAAACATTCTACATTAAATGCAAATACTTAAAATCTGATAGACAAATTGAGAAAAAGGTAACTAGAATTAAAAAAAACTCAAATTTAATGATAACTGATAAGATGATCTATATTGATAAAATACTTGAATACATAGTTGAAATACAAGATATTAATTTCCTTTCAATATCTATATATAATTACTAACTGGAGAATCCACCTCATCCCTATATTCCTGGCCAGCTAGACAATCTTTAGAAAGAATTTTCGTACAAGTAATGACAAATATCGCATCAAATACTCAATCATCAAGTTCAAATGTGACAAGTATTATATCAAACATTAATCACTAAGTTTGAATAAAAATCTGCAGCTTAAATAAAAAAAAATTTACAAATCTTCCTTTTTTATTTTTTATTTTTTTTCTTTATTACTATTTTTTACTATTTTCTATATACAAATACATAAAAAACTATTCTTCTTAATCTCTCATTTTCTTTTTTTTTTTTGTTTACTATTTTTATTTTATTTTTTTTTTTTTACTAAATTATTCATTAAATTATTTTTTTTTGTCAAATAAAAAAAAAACACTTCTAATTAAAAAAAAAATAAAATAAAATTATTGATTAAATAGTATAAACTAAATCAGTAAATTAAACTAATAAAATAACAATAAATTAAATAATTTCAATCGCAAATAAACTGGACTAATTGTTTCTTTCTTCTTTTCTTAATAGTAAAAAAAAAATATATACTAACCTAATTTTCTTTAAAACCTGCTTTATACTTTAAAAAAAGATAAACCGATCTGTTAAACCAGAATCAGATGACTTAACCTAAAAAAAAATTTCAAATATCTTAAAAGAATCAATACAATCATCTTGTTTTAAAATAATAGGAATTAAAAAAATTAATATAATTACTATATCTTCAATTAGTACGATTGCTTTTAAATAAGAATAATTAAAAGAATTAACATAATTATCACCCTTAATAAAACAAATAACAATAACTGAATAAACATATAAATAACCTTTTGCTTCTATTTTAACTCTTACTTCCTTTTCAAATTTACAAAAAAAAGATACTCATAATTAATTTAATCAACTATGTTTCATCACATATACAATATATATTCTATAGATATACTATCTGAAAATATGATTAATCTATCCTTCGATGATTCATTTACTTACTTAACAAATGCCTAATTATTCCAAAATACTGATATTCCAATCATTAACACAAACATCCCAAACTTAAATCTTTTTATAAATCAAATCCTATTCATATCATCAGACAACCATCCATATAAACTAAGTGAACTTTTTCAACAGATCTATAACAAATTCTAATCAACTATATTAAAAGAATATTCTGACACTCCTTATGTATATTACGAAAGATTACTATATATAAATAGAGCTACTTTAATCATATATAACCCCTCAGAAACTTATCCAATCGAATAAATTAACTAAAATGATGTATTAATTACATATAACACATAAAGATATGAAACCATTAAAATTCTCTCATGTAACTCATGTGTAAATCTCTCAAAAAAGATATCGATTCTTATCACTAGTTAAAATTTCAGATAAAATCAAAGCCGTATCTATACACCATAGAAATTTCTATCACCTGTCTATCTACATCCTCCCTTAAACGAAACTCAAACTCTGACAGTTATTCAGAATACTAAAGTTTTATAAGAACTATAGGCTACTCAATTAACTTCAGAACACTAGCCTTATACTTTAGCATAATAAAGCCTACCTACACCTACCCAATCCTAATCATCTTTCAAATAAAGAAATATTTGATAATATTCTCCTATAAGCTGCTCTTTACCTATATAATTACATAACTATCCTATATCAAAAACTCAGCATAAGAGTAATAGGATCATTTCTAACTGCTATACACATTCCAAATAATGACTCTGCATCACTTATAAACTAATATAATATAGTTATACTAACTATAAACCTATTTAGTGAGATATATGATAAAGACTTTTACTATTCACATCTAATAGTCAGATTTATTTGTGATAACAATAACAATTTCTTACTTATTTTAATTTATAATCCAAACCTTAAACCTCTCCTATTCCTACATTTATTTCCTAACAGTAATGGTTACTTCTATGACATAAAAGAACAAGCCTAATCAAATGAAGAAAGACTATAAATCCTAGAAAAATATGCTAAGCATATGATATTACTTAATGACTACAAATTTAAAATAGACTACTACTGGCTATTTTACATGTATTTATAACTAAAGAAACTACGCTATTATCAGAATACTCAACATATATTATGATAAAGAAATATTGATAAATCACATTGAGTTTTTACATCAATCTAATTAATTCAACAAAGCAACTACTCAAACATAATGCATATAAATAAAAACTTGACTACCTAATTTCTGTATTTATTAGAACAGGTGATTCTTACTTTCACGAAAAGAAATTACATCTTAACTCAATGCTACAAAGATTCAGATTCCTAATAATATTTATCACATAATCAATGGAAGAAAATAGATGGTCTGAACTTCATAATATATTAAGACAAACTGACAATAGTGATACCATCCTAACTAATAGACCATTATACTGCATTCTCTATTTCATCTACTGATTTAGATCACTAAAAAAATGATATAGAAAAATGAAGAAATAAATGGATGGGACACAATAACAGACTTCTTCGATCAAATAAAATTTTAAAATAGGGAAGCCACCCATACACATAGATGCTATTAGACCATAAAATCAATTGAGCATATGATTTAAAATAACATTTTATGCTCTGATTTATCAATTCTAACACAAGAA